CTAATACCAAAATCAATTCGTTGATCCCCTATTCATTCTGATCCACGCAAAACAAAAATAATTGTTATCACCAATTAAAATACGCTCTCCCAAATTTAATCGGTGACAATAATTTTATTTAATGTGTGATTTGTATATTCCTGATTCTCTACTAAATAAAATAAAATAAAATAAAATAAAAATTAGTTCCCTTCACAGGAAACTACATGTTATTTCTTTTCAATTCACCTATCTAACAATAATAAAATAATTATATATGAAAATATTCAAAGCAATTACCTTTTGAAATGCTGTTTATTTGATGTAATTAACTAATTAACATCCATGTGCACATCATTATATAAAGATAATTAATAATATGAATGGTTATATATCTGATCCCCACTTAATCCAAAGTTGTTATCAATTGAAAAAAAAATTATGCCATAGTATGTATATATATATATACAAATCAACATCTTTGCATTTGTTGCCTCTTTTTCCTAATCTACATTTATCATCACAAGAATAAAGCATTTCAACATATTTATAACAATCATATCTATATATATCCATGTCAAAATAAATGATCTCACAAGTATAGAATCTAATCCTTATGAAATGAATATATCTTACATCTGCATCACATCTTGAATGGTTTCTTGTTGTGTGATATGTACCATAAATAAATATAATTATTATATGTAAAAGTGAATAAAATTAAATCTATACCTTTACCTTAATTAATAAAAATATTTCTTTCTCTACACATAATATCAATACAACTAACAATATTATTTGCTTGAATAAATTAATGTTATTAACTAACGAAGCAACAAACCAAAAAAACTGTAATTCATTCACTTAATTTTATCCTAATGATGAATATTATCATTAAATGGTAATATTTGAAATCAATTATATTTTTTGAAGGATAATTCAATCTTTTTTCCTAATATAAAAGAAATTAAATTAATTAATTATTATTAAAATAATGAATTGATTTACACATTCCATATATATATAAATAACCTGTTTCTTCTAATATTATATAATCACACAATTGAGATGAAATAACTTGGATTGATACTTGCTTGATTCCTAAATTATGCAAAAAGAAAACATTATTGATCAAATTTTTATTATTCATCAACATTTTTAAAAAAATGTTATTGATGATATCAAATATCATTTACATTATTGTCATCATCCTCCTTTTTTGTAATCAGCATATTAATATTGATATTATTACAATGATCCTGAAAATAAGATCCAATTGTTGGAAGGAGGTTGATGAGCATTGCAATAACGTTTAATCTTCAAGTTGTATTTCAGTATAGCACTCAACACATATAATTCATTAAATATCATGAATGTATGTATATTCCTGACTGATTCTCCACTCAGATAATAATAATAATAAAGCTAAATTACAACAAGTATTTACTTATTTAAAAAGCAATAATAAAACCTCTTTATCCCAGTCTTCTGAACTTAACCAAACAATTGCTGAAACAAAGAAAGAACAATTACTATCAACCAACCCAATCAATTACTTACCTTACATTTTGGGAGGAGCAATAATAGATAGTATTGATGATAGGAACTTTTGCCTATCTGTTAGGAAAAAAGAAAAAAAATTAAGGAATTAATTAACCTAAATTAAGTAGTAAATTATTTTTCTTCTAATTTTCTTTTCTTTCTAGATTATTTACATGCCCAACTACTTTGCTTCCTGAGGCTTGCCTCCAAGTTTGATCACTTTTAGTTTCACATGGACTCAACTTGTATTCTTGAATAAACATAGCAAATAGGCAAGGTAAAGTGTTAACAGGCAGTATTGGTGTTTTATTCACTAAATATTAAAAAAAAATTTCTTTTTAAAAAAACCCTCTTCTGACATGTAAAATTCCTTGATTTTTAGTAAAACATACTTTGAACAGCTTAAAAGATTATAACAGATTGATTATAACAGATTATTAACAGATTATGAAAGTGCAAGTTGAATAGTATATATTTCGATTATTATTAATAGGGATTTTTAAATAGATTTTTATTTATCAATATGTAGTGGAAGTATCATGTTAATTCATTTGCTACATATATGAATTGATCGACGAACTATTTCCACATTTGGTAAAATCCCTGACTGAAATATGGCAAATTAAGTTGTTTTTAGATTGATTTAAATGTGTGACAAAAAAATTTTTGAAATCAATCAATGTGAAATAACATTCAACTGTTATCTACTTTAACATCTCTCGTAATTGGAGTTCCTATTTTGATGAAGCACAACTCAAAGATCATCATTTTCTGGATTTTTACAAGTACCATTCACAACAAGCTGATTTTACCTTTTCATTTTGAAAAGAGTCTGATAAGCTGAAAAAAGATCTTGAAAATCTGATAATAAATGGTACAAATAAACAGAAGAAAGGTGCCAACCAGTTGAATGAAAATTTTAAGGTAAAATTTTAATCTTTGTTTTCTGCATGCATGGCTAGTTAGCAGAGGGAGGTTTCCACAACTATGGTGGGCACCTGCTTGCTGCCCACCTTATGGTCTGCTTGCCTGTTGTGGAAAAAAAAAATCCCACACAACTACAGTGAACACCTGCTTGCTGTTCACTTTATGGTCTGCTTGCTCGTTGTGTCTGCTTCTAGCAATGCCTCTAATAATGCTTTATCACATGATATGTTAACTCCATGTAAACTGTAGGGACACTGGGAACGTTTTAAAGATGTCAATATATTTTGGGAAAAAATTGAGATGCACAAAGAATTGCACCTTCTTGAGGTTTTCACTTAACCAATTTTTCTGATCTATCTAATAAAACTCAAGCTCTTTATTGACTGTGTATTTTATAACTGTAGGAAAATGCATCTAGATCTATAATAAACAATACAACAAAAGTTCTTGGAACTGCTATCAAAAACATCCATTATACTATCGAGAACATCAATGATGCATTGGTATGAAAAATTAGGAAATTAGTGAAAGATAACTGAAATGGCAGTTATTTACCTTATTGTGTATTATTTGTAGATGAACCCAAGAAAACGGACTCCATTAACACATGACATAATGACCAAATTTACTCCAGAAAGCATCAAAAAAGTTAGCATATAAACTACAATTATGTTAAACTCACAAAAATTTTCTCATTTTTCCTATCTTACACAGGTCAAACAACACAGACTAATGGGTGACTTGAAGCATCAAATGAATTATCATCAAAGTCCCTCAAAATACTTTCGGCAGGGTCATTTGTTGAATTGAGGCAAAGAAGTGGATATTATTTGGATTAGTGATGTTAGCTGTTTAAAAATCCTTAGCCGGCTAAGCTGTTTACTACCTAAATTGGTAATTTGATTTCTATAACAAGAAAGTAATGCAGAAATCTATTACCAAATTTAGAAATTATGCATGCAGATTATTAGCTGGCTAACATCACTAATTTGGATAAGACTCACTTCATTTCTAAAATAGAAAATCTTAATGCCCATTCCATACTTTCTCTGCATCCCCATCACTTTGGTAAAACATTATTTCTTTCCACTCTGTGTTCTTATTACGATATAAAGAACCAAGGAGATCAATTCAAACAATTATTTGGTGATCTGTTCATCAGTAAAAATCCAACACCATTAGCAACGTCATTTCTAGTTCTGGAGCTCAATTTTTCTGGAATTCGCACTGGCACAACATATGACATCTTTGAAGATAGTTTTCACAAATGTTTGAATCTATTTATGTCAAGATTTATGTATTGATATTAAAGACTAGTGCTGTAAATTATGGTGATGGTAGTAATTTTATTTACGGCATATAAAAAGTGGTCACAATTACCTTTGCAACCACTTTTGCAACCATACTTTTTCCTTTTTTGGATTACAGCACTAGTCTTTAATTGATATCAACAGGAGTTGGGTCACCATTTTCAAATCGTTGATGAAAATTCAGATGCTTTGACAAACTTATTAAGGTTGCTGAATGCAACAGAATTATGTGGTTACAAGGTATTTTTCCCTTTGTTCAGTCATATATTTGTTCAAAAAGTATTAAATGATTATCCTTATACATCTTTAGCTATATATTTGCATTGATGAATATGATGCTAGCATTAATGAAATTCTTAGAGACGAAACTGTCATTCAAGAACTCTCCAATAATCACAAAAAGGAAAGCAAAACCAAATCAATTGAGAGTTCATTCAAGCAATTCTACAGTTGTTTGAAGACTGTTTAATTCTTTCTTACTCTCATATCATAATTGATAAGGTTCTTTACCATAGCAACGAAGATATTTGCTAATTTATTACTTCAACTTTTTTTTAATATCTCTGGGAGTATTTTTTCTGCTTCTTGTTTTAAGACTTCTTCACTGTCATCTCTAATTTCATTAAGTATGTCTTCGTTCTAAACCGGTGTAACCAGTGTTGTTATGTCCGAATTTACATCAGGATTCAATATTTCAACAGATTTAGCGTTAAACGAAGAATTTTGGGACTTACATGGATTCAAGCAGTCAGAAGTTGAACTTCTTTTGGAAATAATCTGCCATCTGATATTAAAAAAGGGATAGTAAAATGGTTAAAAGAGGAAAATGACGGATATTTTTTTAACCCTAATCAAGCTGAGGGTATATTTAACACTGTTCGTATTCTGTACTGTATTCAAATGTTGATTGGGCAAATAAAATTTATAAGCTACGGTGAAGATTCTTCAAGCATTATCAAAAAATTTCCTCGTTTCCCCCCTGATCCGAACACATTGCCTTCCCAAACAATATTGGAATTAATTGTCAACAATCCCCTTGGAAAATCTATCCTTACCGAAGCACTCAATCGAAATCCTCTCGAATCAAGAAACGGTATAGAACAACGATTTCGTCTCACTAGCATTTGCGAGCTGGCAACCGACCGCAACCCGTTATTATCGTTCATGTTTTATACTGGTGCCCTCACATATCAACCGAATTCACTACAACACATATTTCGAATCCCAAATCGTGTTTCCGAGAGAGGAGGCACTAAAAATCTACGACTGGAAAGAAGAGGATTTAATACCTGTACGAAGTTGCTTACAGATTTTGGAGGCAGAATGTGACATCGAACCGCCCTGCCGATTTGTAGAGAAAACTCTACTTAAGCCATTGAAGGACAATAGTGTTAAACATTCAAATGAGGAGGCCTTGAAGCAATCGTTTATGGACACTTTAATTCTCACTCTTCACGCAGATATTGAACCAGAATTTCCGGTAAATTCTCAGAGCTCTAATTTAGGTAATAAGGCATCGATTTAGTGAAAACAAGTACTGGAGGAAGGATAGCAATCGAATTCGATAATATTAGGATGGAATACATTAACCTAAACGGAGCTCAAAGTACATGGCAGGAAGCAACTCAAGTATCACGATCATTGATGACGAAAACAGAGGATGAAATTTTAAGCCTTAAAATTAGTGGATCCATTCTGGCCAAATCAAAATTCAGTTCGTCAAGCTTTAGAATGGAAGATTAAAAAGAAAAGCAATGGGTATTTGGAGCCGTTAAAAAAAACAACATGATGCAGAGTTGATGAGTATGTTTATTGTTTTGAGGGTAGGTTTACATCGCCTGATTAGCAGGAGAGTGTATTGCGTTAATGAATAGCCTGTAGGATTAATCATTGAAATAAAAATTTTTCTCAATAAGGGCTTTGGTTTTTATGTATCTGGTATGATGTGAAATGTGCATGAGAAAAATAAAGGTGTATATTTAGATACGTTGTATCCTCGATCACGGTCAAATAAAATTAGATTTCTGTTTATTGTACATATAAATTTCATAATAAAGAAAGCCCTGGTGGCTAATTTCACATACATGTCATGTTTAATCGTGTTTACTTTTGCATGTGTATTTCGTGAATTTATTTTACTGTATTGACATTGATGTCTGTTAACTCGCATATGATTGAGAATTTTTAAAAATTGGAGCAGACATATAATATTTTATTTTGAATATATCTGAAAACAATTGCAGGTTCACAAACTACAATTGCTTTATCAAGAGAATTAAATTCTAAACTTACAGTTGAGATTACTGAACTTAGAAAAAAGTATGCTAAGGTTGAGGCTAAGAATATAAAGTTAAAGCAAATTATAGAAGAGAATACTGAATTTAAGACTAGATTCAAAGAACAAGATAGGAAACATAAAACAGATATTGCAAACCTTATAAATGAGAATACCGAACTCAAATCTAGGGTTTCGAAATTGGAACAAAAGTTATCACAAAATGAAGAAGAAAAAGGCGATCTTATTTCTTACAAAACTAATTCTGAGGATACTCCCGAACAGATAGAAAATATATCCGACAATATTTATAGTTCTGATAATATTCAATATTCTGACGTACGGTGTCTAAATATTGATTGAAAATGAGAAAGTAGTTTAACAAATATTCTATATAAATTGAAATTCATTCCAACTATCAAAGAAAATTTCTTTTTAAAGATTTTTGCTTTTTATTATTTTCTTAGATAGGCTTCAATTGTCTAAGTATTATTTATTTTGAAAATATATGGTGTAATTTTTTCACCTTGTTCTTTCTTTAAAATACTTCTAATGATGTTATAATTCTTGAGTTCCATGGTATATATACCTGATGTAAATGAGTTTCATATTAACTATTTTTATTAGGTATAGTTCTAAAATAACAAATGAGATATTATAAATCGTTAATTACGATCACATTACAAATGACTAAATTTTGATCCCTGAAATTCTTGGTAATACCAATGTTCACCTTGTCTGGTTTTGTTGCAGCATGCCCCATATAATTCTATTCATGGTAAGGCAAATAAGCATAAAAGATACAAGCTCTGTTGACTCGTCATAGATTAGCAAAATGGTTTCATGTGGTTTTACTCCCCGGGTTTAAAGTACAAATCATGATTAAAAACGACAGCGGTTTAAAAAAATTGAATATGATATGGTCACATTACCAATTTAAACAGCATTTACCTGTGAATATCCTTAGTGCAAGGTAGTCACCTGCACTGTGGATGTTGTGGGTTATCAACTTGGGTGGTCAATGGACTTTAAATGTACATCATCTTTTAAAACAGAGATGTAGACGGAGCTCGTATATTAATTATACTTCCAAAGTATATTGCTATTCTATTTATTTGGTAAATGGAAAAATAAAAAGTACAATGTCGGATTGAAAATAACCTTTATCCTACAAGTTATATGTGCTCAATAAACATGAAGTAGAGGTGCGGCGAGCCATGTTAAAAAGCTACTGATATATCACATTTCGAAAGAAATGCTTAATGCTAATTTTTTTAATTTTATGTACACGAGCCTTTTGATCCAAACATGTAACGAAGATACTCTATATATGAAAAATTTTCCTCGACACATATATATACCCACGTAATATAAAAAATCAGTCCACCATGCAGGATGCGGAAATTCCGATAATAATAATAAATTTCCCAAACGGGGCAATTAATCCCGATCACACATTTCTCACCCTGCTTGCCACCATGCTTATTTAAAATTTAAAATTAAATTAAAATTAGCCAATCAAAAAAGAGGTTCTGCACTCAATGTTACCCAAAAGCCCCACATTTAGTTAATATTATATGATTTGATTCCCAAACGCACGCTACAGCAACGTTTTTTGTATATAATTAAATCGTCACCAATTGAAGACGCACTTACTTATATATAATTCCATTCACCACGTGGAAAACATTGTTTTCACCACATTTACCAATTGAACTTTCAATTCGAAATACCGAAACACATAGAATATAATAATAATGATCATAAAACAAATTCTAGACTATAAACATGAGCACAATATCAACATTCCAATTTGTGGATTCCAATTATCGGAAAAATAGTCACTAATGTTCATATTAATATTAATATATATAATTATGCTACCGAATCACATTTTTTTTGAATTCGCTTTATCGTTCGTTCAATGACTGAAAAAGCCGATTGATTGTTTAAAAAAAGAGGTTAGTAAATTTTATCAAAAATCTAGAATGTAAAGATTGCAAGAAACTAGAATCATCCAGCAGCTATTGTTAGAATACCTAAATTAGCCTAGTAATAGTAATCGGCGATTGATCATAATAGGATTAATAAGTCTTCTTGATATATACATATGTTTATCGACATTCACCAAAGGAATCAAGATGAATCTTGGGTTTAACGGATAGGTTGGGCAATTATCCAAAAATCCATTATATCAAGAAATCCGTTATATCGAAAACTTATTATTTTTAACTAAATCGTTCACGCTAAATTCACTGTGTAGTACTTCAAGTATTCCAAGGAATAATTGGCTAACATTAAAGGATCAATACATGAAGAAATTAGAAAGTGTTAGTTAATTGTATAATCACGAATAATAGTCCTTCATTTAAAGTGATCGGTCGCGTCATAATCTTGTGTTGGGTTAAAGAAAAAAGAAAGAATTAAAAAAGTCAAATTGTAAATTTCAGATTTACTAATAAAGATAGGCTTTGATTTTAATTAGTTCGATAGATAATATTGATGATTTAATGATTTGATTTTTTTCTCTGATATAAATAATCTGTGTGCGCGTGGGACTTTAGTTTTTGATCATTAAAATATTAGTTGTTATATTTGAAGTATTTTTTAATTATTGTTTGTATTTATTAATATTAATATTATTGTTATATATAGTATATAAATAAATAAATAATTCTATAAAAATGTCTCTTTCTCCCAAAACTATTTTTAATTAATATGTAACAATGACTACTTTATTTTCTTTAGTAAATAAATATATCATATTTGTTTCATTATTAATTATATATAAAGAAGTAAAAAAAAAATAGAAATATTGGATATAAATTAAAAAAATTGGCTGATAAGAAAGAGAGGAAAATATATATAACCATAAAATGACCATCTATTTATGACCGACCATATTCAAATCATTCATTCGTACTTGAGTTTGTTTGAAGGAGGATAAAGATAAATAGATAGATGGATAGATTATGAAGCTGTAGAAGATGAATTAGCATTTGTACTTGTAGTGGTAGTGTTGTTATTATTAGATGATGCTGATATCGGAGCTTTCGTAGTGGTAGTACTAGTAGTGCCAGTAGCACTAGTATTTGATGATGATGGTGACGGTGATGATGATGATGATGTAGTAGTGGTGGCTAATGTTAATTGATTGTTATTGATAGGAGTAGTTCCTAGATCACTATTATCATTGTTGCCGTTTGTATTATCGCCACTAAAAGATTCTTCTTCCATTGGTTCTTCTTCTGCAAGCAAATTATCCCACTCTATTAAAAAAGATAAATAATAAGTAAAATTTTGTTCAACAATTATATATAAATATTATCGCCTGGAAAGATTATATAAAAAAAGCAATTTACCCCTGTTATTATTATTATTATTAATAATATTAATATTGTTATTACTGCCACTAGCACTACCACCACTATTATTATTTGAAGGTGATAATTCTTCATCTTTGTTTTTTTCTTCTTGAAGCTTTATTTCAGCTTCTTCTTCTTCAGCCAACACTTGCTCCCAATCCACACTATTGTCTATAGGTGCCTCAAGGTCGGCAAAACTTCGACATAAAGGACACAAGAATCCTGAATGATGAGAAAATAGAATTGGCCGTATACATTTGTAATGAAAAACGTGCGAACATGGCGCAAGAAATAACGCTTGACAAGGTCCAATTCCACTTAAACAAATACAACAATCAGTGGTTGGTTGGTTTTTTATCCCTTCGGAATTACTCATTTGAGTAATTTGTTTAAATTGTTTCAAAGTATTTAAACTAACAAAAAATAAAAAAACCCCAATTAATTGATGTGTTAATAATTGTATTCTTGAAATAAATAACTAAAGTACCTAAATTGATTAATTGGTCTTTGCCATGACCGATTTAATTCTATTCTCATCTTTACGCAACGATAAATTTCTATATATATATAAACATGTAAAGCGTTTAAAACCATTTTATTAAATTACAAAAAAAAAAATAAAAATAAAAATAAATATTTTGCTAATTAATAAATAATACCTTCGGTTCCGCCTTGGTAGTCAACTCCAAGTTGTACAACATCCCCATCTTTTAATAGGAACGGTCTACTTTCTGAATTTGGTGTTGACAATCTTACATGATTAAGAAAAGTTCCTGAAGAGGATTTGGTATCTTTTATGTAAAACTTTTTTTTTTATAAATTATACATGCACTATTAATTATCGAGAAGGCTGAAAATAAAATAATAATTGTTGTTGTTGCTGTAGTTATAATACCTTTCCTTCGCTATGCCAAATTTCAGCGTGACCTCTTGATACCACCTTGCTTTTAAAGGTTACTCTATTTGGAACTTGTGCTTTGTCAGTAAAACGTCCTATTTTAATTGCAACCCCTTCAGGGACTTCTCTTTCGATAATGTCAAAATGCAAAGAACGAGAGCCTTCAATATGTGGAACTATACGAAGTGCGGGAACCTCAGGTTTTTGATCTTGATTCAATGCTTGTAGTTCTGGTGACATCTGTTTGTTTTTTTTTCCTTTTCACAAGGTATTGTTTAAAACTATACAAAATTCCATATTTGTAACCATCAGATGTATTATCTTTTTTTATTATATATTTAAAGCATAAAAAAAAAATATTAAACCAAACAAACCAAAAAAATTTATTTTCAAAATTGCAAGTGATATATATATAAAATAAATAATATTCAAAATTGATTTCTACTTCTAAAGTATTGTTAATTATATATATATATATATATATTTGTTCAATGAAAGACAATTTATTCAATTGTATAACTTGGTTTCTATTTATGTATATGATTACATCATTTTTTTTTACAGCATCCCCAAAACAATTGGATGAAAAAAATCCCTTATATGAATCAGGTGATCGCAAATCCTGCCATCAATTTCGAGGGTTTTTCAAAATATCAAGTGTGGTATAAATATTTTTTGATTTTTAAAGAATTTTAGATTATCATTATTACATTATTATAAGATAAAATAATATCAAAAAAAAAATTTTTTTTTAATAATATCTTTATACGAATATTATTATTATTAGTAATAATATCATCAATAATAATAATAATGGCGCCTCCACCACCACTTCCATCTATTTACAAGAGACAAATTCCACCTCAACATAAACATTGGAAAGAGTTTACTAGGCCTGCAACAACAACAGATTTTAGCAAAGTAAAGGAGGCATATGCTGCCGGTGACTACACTACTGTTATCGAGTTACTTGACTCGAAAATGTTTCATAACATTGGTCAAAGAAGTAAGGGTATTGCTACTACTCCTAACGCCGCCATGTTTCAAAAAGAATACGTTCTATTGGTTCGTGCAATGTGTTCACAACAACTTAGAGATTTTGATCGTGTTTTGTTGGATACGACCGAGATCTTGAAAATTCTTAATAGTAAAAATAAAAATATTAATACTGGTATTAATATTAATAATATTAATAATATTGGTAATAATGCTACTATTAACAATTTTACTACTACCAATACCACCAACACCATTAATAATAGTTTTTTGAAAAAAGATAAGAAAGATCAAAAACTATGCAACATATTGGCACTTTGGCTGAAAAGTTTAGCATTAGAATCTTTGGAGAGATGGGAGCTTGCTAATAGGGACTTGACTACGTTGAAATCAATGATCATTAATACGCTTAGCAATAATCTGAAATTTAACAAGGACAGCTTATTATCGATTCTTTTGCCTTATATGGTACCTTTGGTATTACAATGCAATAATAACGCATGGATCGTTAATTTAAGATGTGTCAACGATAAACTACGCTTCATCATGAATATGTTGACGGTAAAACAAAAGTCCTTGTCAAATGGTGGTGATGGTCAATTGTCGTCGTCAATGATCAATCCTCCTCGTTTGATAGACGACGATGGAAAATCATCATGTGATCTGGCAAAAAAGTTTCATTATCGTTTATTGTTGCGAAGACCACTTCACCCAAATATTCATCTTGACATGTGGTACACCATGGATTTGATGTTTGTTAGTGAAATGGGATTGTTTAAAAGAGAGGACATGTATGGTGCTGAAGGTTACGCTCTTGCATGTAAAATTTTAGAAATTGGTGAGGTTAATATTGATAATAACAAATATTCGGTTGAGGTGAGACCAATGAGTTCGGAATCTTGTGAGTGGAGCGGTTTAACGGCTACTGATTGGGCCGGTGTTCAAAAAAGTGGCAAAGGTGGCTTGGAATTTAAAATTACATGTTCAAAAAAATCAAATGATAATAATAATAATAATAACGGTAACATTCACAAAACTAATGATTATAAACAACAACAACAACAACAACAGCAACAACAACATAAACCTATCAATGGTTATAACAATAATTACCATAATTATAAAGGTAATTATGGTAATGGTAATGTCAACGGTAAAAGGAAAGTTTTAAATCAACCAGAAAAATACTTGTATGTTTATCCAATTATGGAAATGGCGGATAAATCTATTACTATTAATTTGAGCAACGGTGGTCAAGATAACCACAACAACTACAGTAATTTTAACAATTTCAATAATTTAAACGATTTTAATAGCAACAATGCCAACAGCAACAATACCAACGGCAACAATACCAACGGCAACAGTGCAAATACCAACAGTAACTCCAATATTAATTGGAACGATAGTGTAAATATTAATTGGAACGAGAGTGGAAACATTAATTGGAATGATGATAACGGGAATAATAATGGGAATGTGAATGTCAAAAAATTTAATTTAGTTCCTGTAGCATTTGGACCAATTTTTATTTCAGATTGTAAATCTCATCCCTCTACCTGTGCACATCATCAAGCTGATAACAGTGATTTGAATGTTGATTTTAACGATCTTGAAAATAACAATGATGACGACGACTGCGACTATGATGACGACTCATTTAATTATTCATCATCATTATCATCATCATTATCCTCATTATCATCTACTTCTTCTTCACCTTCATTTGAAGAAAAAGAACCAGTAGAAATTAAGTCAAGACAAAAGAGAACAGAATCATCATCAACATCTTCTTCGGCATCATCATCATCATCATCATCTTCTTCTTCTTCTTCTGCTTCTTCTTCTTCAAGAAAAAAAATTCCTTGGAGTAATGACGAATATTTGATTGAAAATTATCGGATATTTGATCTCCCTAATGGAAAAAATTTGTTAATAAAAGAACTATGGGATGTAGGAATTCCTGGAAAAGTTTGGGATTCGGCATTTGTAATGGTTCAGTTGTTTAGAGAAAAGTTAGCAAACAACAAAAGATTGTTTGATAATAAAAAGATTTTAGATTTATCATCAGGAAATGGTTTCGTAGGAACACATTTAGCAGCTTTAATTACTGATCTAAAAGTTTCAAATGATTATAAGAAAAATGATGTTGCTGATAATGGTATTGATTACAGACGCCACGACTATGTCCACCATCATCATAAATATAATAATAGACAGAGAGAATTCATCAATAATTATAACAATAATAGCAACGAAACAAAAATAGTCATGACAGATTTAAAACATGCTCTACCACTTATTAAAAAAAACATTTCCTTGAATAGATATTTATTAGGTTTGACTGATAAGATTTCTATCAATGTTGAATATTTAAAATGGGGTGATCTAAATAAAGCAAAAAAATTAGGTACTCTGGATTATGTGTTGGCTTCTGATGTTGTGTATGAACCTGGTAAAGTAATTTTATTATTATTATTATTATTATTATCATTGTCATCATCATTTAAACCATTATTATTATTATTATTAACGAATTTTTGATATAGAACTATTTGATTCTTTGGTTCAAACTTTAAATACTCTCTGTACTCCAAATCTTACCAAAATTTATTTGGGATATAAAAGACGCGGACTAACTAAAGACGAAGAAAAGGATTTCTTTAATCAATTGCAAAAAAATTTCAATATGAAATTATTGACTAAAGTAGGTGATAATATAGATGGAGAAGTGTGTGATGGCGGAAGTATCGGGGGACAAATAAATGATGTTGGAATAGTGAATCTTTATGAGTTATGGAAATGATCTAGGTACATTGATATATAAAATTATATAATCTATTTTTAATTGGTGAGTTATATGTATAATTTATATTTTTGAATAATAGTAATTATACATAATGTTTATCAGACGTTTGCAAAGAATCTTTTTTTTTCTTTGCTTTTTTTTTAAAAACAAAATATATCATACATTCGAGAGAAATGAATAAATAAAATTTTTCTATTTTATTTGTGTACATATTAATAATTTCCACTTTTATATTTAACACATGTAATAATAATAATAATAGTTAAAACAAATAACATGAAATTTTTTTTTCTATTACTATCATTATCTTAAACCTCTGAATAGACATTCTGTATATTGCTCCATCTCCGTATCATTAGCAAGTCCAATTAGAAATATTAAAGTTATTCTCTTCTAGTTATTATACATACATACCAACCAACCATTACAAATGTCTTGGTAAGTTCAAGTATATTTACCAGATGTATCTGATAATGATGGTCGATGATCAAGAAAATAAAATTATTTTCCCTTCCCGATTGTATAATGTGTTCTCCTTTCCAACCGATGCCAGTGTTTGCTCAGCGCCATTTCGGACTAACGTGTGACAATAATAATTAATTTATCAGTGTATGAAAAGGGTACAGTCTACTCTCTATATAACGACCACTAAGTAAAATTTCTCTATAACGAACTTCCCTTTTGTCCCCGTTTCAATTTTTTATAATTAATTTCTCTCTCTATAACGACCAAAAGCAGAGAAATTACATATAGGGACAGAGGGTTCGTTATAGAGAGAGTGAACTGTATGATGGTAGTAATAGTAATAGTAATAGTAATAGGTATTCTTGTTAGAGTACGTCATTAAAATCGTCGAAGAAAGATTAGCGTTCCTATTTGAATATATACACACAATTTCAGATATTCCTGTTAATTTTAATATTAATGCGTGCTGGTCTAATACTTTCGAATATTTGAAATGTTTGAATATTTGTGGTGATTTCGATCATGAGTATTCGTAATATTCATAATGTTTTTGAGTATTCATAGTACTCGTTATCGTATTCAAAGATTATATATAGACAATATGTAGCAATGCTGTTCAAAAGTGATGATATTATATTGATTCATAAAATAATATTAAAATATCTTTTCCCTTGTAGACTTGCAAAACATCTATATAATTATTTTTCCAACAATAAAATTGCCATTATAATAAATCCAGTTTAGAAAATTTTGTGGTGCTTAAGCTTAAACTTTAAACTAGGAATAATAGTAAGGAAATCAAAATCGTACGCGATTATATAAATAATTGAACTGCATATCATGCACGTGACAAATATATTATTACCTTTTTAGCAATCAATAGACTATTTTACTGTGGTAATTGTTGTTGAACTCAGCCATTAACCATAAACTATTTGTCAAGTGACGTGTTTGACGTTGTTGCTTCTTATTTGATTGTGGTTTGTGCCATAGTATGGTTTGCTTGTTGCGGTTTTGGTTTTTTAGAAGCAGTTCTACTACCAATCGTGATTCTTCTTCAAACATCTTATTTATGCAAGTGTAGAATCAGATACAAGGCTTATACGCTTTCTTTTCTTTCCAGTGGTCGATGATTTTATTTATTCGGCACTTTTTTCTAGTAGTAGGTTTAATAAATTAGATGTTGTATTTCTAACACACGCTATACTAGATCATTTTACCAATTTACCCTAATGACACTTCGATGGGTAGATGTTGAACGAAACTGTTTTCAATACTAAAAAGTAAGTTATTATCAGGTAACTTTGCCTCTTTTTTTTTATCCAGCTCTTAAATAAATATAATCACACGAGTTTTTGTAATATAGTTGGATTGTGTGTTTGAGTTGATATATTAATAACATGGCCACGGTCGATTCTTGGTACATTTTTTCACTTTATGAAAGAACTCATAAGCATCGTTGGCAGATTTTATACTCGAAGCGCCATTTAAATGTCTACTAATGTTTTTAGAAATCTTGTTAATTTGTTTCTTTGACAGATTCACAAAGTAAATAAAAACTAGAGCTTGAATTAATGGTTTTTAACATTTATCGAGTTTCTCTAATAACACTTACTCATATCCCGCTCCTTCTCTACCCGATCTTTGATTTTTTTTTTTTTTATTCTTAAAAAAATAATATGGAACACGAAACGCGAAAAAAATTATTTATTTTTGGAGCACTGTTGTACAAAGAAAATTCAAATTTTTTTTTATTTGGTTTGTTAATCCAACTTCTTTTATTTCATTATAATTGACAGCAGGGGGTTGACAAATGTGTGGTCTATTGGGTCCATTAGTGTAACACTTTAACCATATTTAGTGCAATGGACAGTCAATTTGCCAACCCTGATTGACAGTATTATTAATATTCTCCATTCTTAAATCGAATTTGGTGCTTATTGGTGATTTTATTGACTCAAATATATTTCGTAATTTACTTCGATCGTTTTGCTTTACAAAAAGATAGAATTAAAAATCATTTTTGAAAAACGAACAATATTTGATGATGATGATGATGATGATGATGACCTGTTAAGTATGTACAAAATTTTAATAATTGAATTAATTAAGATTGCTCTAATCACTAGAATGACGACGAGTTGCGATGATCACAACCACTCATTAATAAAATAATAACTAGAATGACTAGTAGTGGTAATAACCACCATTCTTATGATAAACACTTATTCATGAACGACCTCTTCAATGTGATTTTTTTTTTTTGCTGATGTTGTTGCGACATCTTTGTGGAAATAAAATTGTTATTTGATCAATGCGTACACATTAATTATTTATGTATGAAACCTATTGGTTTTTTTTTTTAGAAAAATTTATTTGAGTCCAAGATGACAAAACGTAAGTCTCCTAAAGAATAATTAACCAGAGGTACTATTTTTTATTTGTATTGATATTTTAATTGAAATCAAAACGTGGAGCAGATCTTGCTGGTAATTATAAGATCCTTATCAAGACAACAAATGAATGATTGGTAATTTGCTTTGCGTAATCAATAACAGTTTCACTTATATTAAAGTCAATTTAACTAATTATATTTTTTACAATAATGAGAACATTTGATCAAGAAATTGACTGGACTTTGTCCCGAATGTCTCGCAAATTTTTGGTTTCGTCCACCGCATAATTCATTCTTATAACGGATGTTATGATGGAAATTTGGTTGTCGACAGCTTGGGAATACCAAGAATAAAAAAGGTGTAGTTTTAAGGCATAAAACAGAGCTTAACACTAATGGCAAAAAGGTAAATGTGATTATATATGCAAAACTCTCGATCTTAACAATTAACAATAAATTTTGAATTATTCTTTACAAAAAACCTTTTTTTTTTTAGAAGTAATTAATTAATTTTAAAAACCTTTTGAGGACTTTGATTA